TGGATTGTATGTGTTTTCCTCCCTGCTCGGTGACGAACTTATTTGCCACTAAAAGGATCAACGATTTAGCTCCTTATTCTCCAGCTGGACCACTTCAACTTCCTATCAGCTCAAGTTCCGAACTAGCGATATTTACGTATGATTTTCTGATTTTCTACATATCTCCCAATCACTTGACGATTGCAATACTTGGTGGTTCAAGCATGGTACGTTGCTCATGATACTGTTCCATACTAATCAAATCATTCACCACTAACCCCCTTAGTGGTTGCTCCGTTATCAGCATATTAGCAAATCCGTTAAATTGATCAGGAAGTCGGCGAATCAAGACACGAAGTTGACTCCAAGGTAAAGTCGCTCTTGCCACTACAGTCATCAGCGTGTTACATCTTCATCTCAATCCGATTGTAAGTTTACTCTTCGAACTTCGGCAATAAGAAGTGTACTGATTACTTTAATAGACCAAAACCCCCACCCCTACGAAGCTACGTTACCTCATCCGGCCCATTGAAACACTCGGCGTAGCGCCCAAATGCATCAATCCTCTTGAATTTGCAGATCAGAAATCAACAATATGTTTCTTTCGAGTTTGCTAGATTGAATCGAACTGAAGTGAACACAATCACCTTATTACCTCGAGCTGACCCCAATGAGTTGAAAATTTGATTCATAGCTTTCAAAGTTTGCCTCATGTTGACCTTTTGTATAGTAGTGACCAAAATCAGAGTAGATAGAAGAGAAAAAATTGTTTTTAGGTGAGTTTTTATTTCATCTGTCATTGGTTCTGCCTCAATACAAGTCGCTCATAGCCTCTTGACAGTTTAAATCATCCTCACTAATTAATATCTGGTCTTATTTCAATTTCTGTTGCTACTTTAGTTTCCCATAATCACATATAGCCAAGTGATCAAAGTCAGGCAAGGATCTTTTTTGTGCACCTCCTGTGTTCATTTTGTTCTATTACAGTTTAGATCCACTATCCACCTTTTCATTTCGATTTTGGATCTTCCTCATTCTTATTCATTGAATCAGGGTGGGTTGTTTGTCCTTTACTGATCAGTTCCGACTTGATTTAAGTTAAGTCGCTTTTAGGCCCACTAGCATTATATAATCTTACTGATATGTAATTTGTCTCTTTCACCATCTTACTGGAAGCTTTGTTATAGGTCAATTTCAAGTCAAATCATCAATTGATCTAAAATCGAATCAGTTGTAAGTAGGTCGCTTCAATTATCTCCTATCCTTATGGTTTAGGAACTATGTATAACCCTTTTTATGTTTTGTTAGTCTTCTGATGTTGTAGGATAGGACTCATATATGAATCATCATCATCATTGCATTTTCAAGTTGAATGCGAACAGTGAATTCAGACAAAATTGACAAAGTTTCCAAAACGCCCACTCTTTTAGCTGAACAAATCCAAGTTTTGACTACCCAAACTTTCGGCCTCGGGATGATTATTTTCAATTTACTCATTATTGCTCCTAACAGATACCTCAATGATCTCATAATCAAATTTTGAAGATCATTCTCAATTCATCAGCCTTACGATTTTAGTGAACAGCGCGATTACCAGAGTACACAAGTTTTTTAATTTGAAGTCAACCAAAACTCATGGAGATCGTTCATTCAAAGCTATCGATTTCTGAAGGTATGTTCAATTTTGTTTTATCTAATATGTCTTACTCTGTCTTACTGTCTTTCTTATGCTGCAAGAACTGACTCTTGACCTCACCGCTAAACCCCACATTGTAAGCCCTCACTCGATCTCATTCAGCTACACCCATCTCTGCTAGACTTTTCTCTCCATCTAAATACTTTTTATTAGAAACCAAAGATTTCAATTCGAAATCAAATCCATCTATCAATCGAACAAACCTGAATGAATTACAAAATTTAAATCAGATCCAGAACCGACTTCAAAAAACAGTGGAGATGATTGAAAGTAATGCATATCATCAAAGCATTTAAAAGTTGATAATAAAATATCTTATGAACAATGAGTATTGATTCCAAATTGAATCACCAAAACCATTTGCCAATCTTGCAATTGTATTCCACCCAAATCAATGTCACATCAACAGAGATTGGAAGTAAGTCTATCTAGGAATGATCAAAACAAATTTGATTAAATCACTGACCTCTTTTAAATTGTTCCAAAAAACATTGAGACCACATCAGACGACACAATTGAGATTATCACCGGCTCACTTAGTTTTGTAAGCTTCAAACTTCACCTTTTTTTTGTGACCCTATGTGATGTTACAGTGACTGACTTTGGTTCATCGATTTGGAATCTTGCGCATTTATTTTCTACCTAATGAACTTCAAGAACAATCATATCAAGAACAATCATATTATCCAGTAAGACCTAACAGTCATGTAATTCATCATCGCAACATTCACATCAACATCGCTGATAAGAATAATAATACAGAGATGAACGTGAAATGACTTCAGTTAAACATCCTAATCGAACCAATTCATCAAATAAAAGTGA